ATGCATTGGAAGCGGTAAATTTGGCCGTCGCTGAATCTTGCGCCGAACGAAAATTCTTTACTCAAATCTCGGACATAACTTAACGGGAGTGGCCTCTTAATAAATTCTCGTTGCTTTTTGTGTCGACATAAATTAAATATTACGCTTGGATGCATTGGAAACGGTAAATTTGGCCGTCGCTGAATCTTGCGCCAGACGAAAATTCTTTACTCAAATCTCGGACATAACTTCTGTAAACTTGTCATTTTGTACCAACCTTTGATACTACTGTCTACCATTGTGATGCATTCGATAATATTTATCCATTTTTGTGAAGAAAATCGATGAATTCATTTTATTTTATCAAAAAAGCACATGAACAAAAAACATCGCTAATTTTATCTCCTTTTTACAGGGGGTGTAACTCTGTATGTAATATTATAGGAGGCGCTAAGAGAGATACTAGATGATCGTGACAAAACTCGGTACTTTTATTTTATTCAATCAGTATCAAATAATGTGTCGTTACGCGTGAAAACAATGATCAGGTTAGTCGTTTAATAAAACAAAAGATTAATTAACAGATAATCCCGGGTTGATTGTTATGTCTACATTTCTTTTTACCTGATCAGTGGGGGTCCAGTTAATTATCGTACTACTCACGGGATTAGCGGGGGTGTTACAAAGAACGACAAGATGGTATCATTCAACAATGGCCGTTGAATGGGCGATGTTTTGTTGAATTTATTAGTAAAATAGTGACCGCTGGCCGCGTTAGAGGAGTGACCGTTGAATAAAGAGATGAAACAACAGAATTTCTACGGGGGGAATTTATCGTGACCGCTTACAAGGAGATGTCGCTGAATAGGAGTGGCTGCTCATACAGATTCTACTGTATGTTGTTTGCATTAGTGAGATGAAGAAGCCTATTTAATTTCAAAGTTCCGTTAATTTCTTCTAGAGTTATGGCCCTTGTTTCACTTTGTTGCACCTTGTGAATGCTCCAACAACAAAAGTTATCAACCGATCTGTATGAAATTTATATGCATCATTTAAACATGCATTATGCAAGAGCTAAATCTGATTATTGCAAGTCTTAATTTAGGCTTCAGATGTTATAGAAATTATAAATTAGATCTTTATTTAAACAACAAGACCAAAATCAACTCTGTAGACCCACGGATGGCTCGGCTACAGCTCGGATTTAAATAGGATTTCACTAATTGATTAAATCAAATAAGGGGTAACCTGATGAAAATACGTCAGTTAGATCGAGGCTAAATGATAGAGTGTACTTAGCGAGGCCGCTGTAAAGCGTTTCCGTATGCCATTGAAAACTTTACTTGATAATCGAGATATGTAGGGGGAGTTAACGCTGTCAATCAAACGATCGGCGAAGGTGAAGACACATTTCGCTACCATTTCTAGGCAAATATTACAACGATGATAACTATGTTCAGAATAAAGTAATTTGACTGAATTTTTCAATATATTCTTCTTTCATCATCTACTTTTGAACTGTTATAGCAAGAATGGCCAACTCTCTATAAAAATCTCCCATAATGTATCTTTAAATTAGTAAAACAAATAAGCCTATTGAATTTCAGCAATTTCCGTTGATTATGTCTAGAGTTATGGCCCTTGTTTCACTTTGTTGAATGTTGTGAACGCTCTAATGACAACAGTTATCATGCGATCTGTTTGAAATTGATATGCATCATTTAGATTAGTGAAATGAAGAAGTCTATTGAATTTCAGCAATTTCCGTTAATCACACTGTGAGTTATGGCCCTTGTTCCACTTTGTTGTACCTTGTAAATGCTCTAACGACAAAAGTTATTATCAGATCTGTATCATTTAAATTAGTAAAACAAACAAGCCTATTGAGTTTCAGTTATCACCTAAAGTAGTGAAATGAAGACGAACAAGCCTATTGAATGTCAGCAATTTCCGTCAATTAAGTCTATAGAGTTATGGCCCTTGATTTACTTTGTTGAACTTTGTGAACTTTCGAACAACAAAAGTTATCCGATCTGTATGAAATTTATATGCATTATTTGAATTAGTAAAACGAAAAAAGCCTGTCGAATTTGAACAATTTCTGTAGATTGCTTCCAAAGTTACGGCCCTTGTTTTAGTTTTTAGAACCTTGTGAACCTTCAAACAACGAAAATTATAATGTCATGTGTATGAAATTGTCTATTAAATTCCCCTAATTACCTGCAAAAGAATAAATATGTGACAACCCTTGTCGACTGCTCGGACGATTTAGCTGCTGTGAGCGTATGTTTTGTTGCCTGGCAACCTATCTTTGTAATTTATAGTAATGGCCAGTCTTCAGAGAACGAAATTTGTTCGACATGTGGTCAAAGGGTAAACAACACGTACGTCCACAATTGGTAATACATGAAACAATATTTCCTCGATTTATAGTAGTCCAACACACACACACACACGTGTATGTTTCCTCGGAATTATAATTTTTAACCCCAGTACTTGAGGTATTTGACACTGTTTTTTTTTTTAATTTCAAATACATTATTGCCAGTCTGGCCTTGGTATTGTTACACAGAAAGCGGATAACAGACCAATCTAACCATTAATGTCCTTGATTAGTGGGACCGACGTTTAATGTACGTGTGTTTAATGGCATCTGACACACACTATACTGATGAAATTCCAACCAGCTATCTATTAATGACCTTGTTTTGTAGCACTCCTGTACACACAAATTATAAGCCTTTCCCCATGTCTCTGTTACTTTCCATGTGTGCACGCACACACGTGTCATTGTTGTAATGTCCGTGTCCTACATTATTCTATGAAAAATCACATACCTAAAATAAACAGATACAGAACTTAAATTTGCAATTTCATGATAAGCCAAAACATGGTAACTCCAATATGACTCTGCTCTCAGAGCAATATTTAACTGCCTTTGGTATGGGGAGTTGATACAGCTGTCCTCGTTTTACACCTTTTACATGTAATGGTGTATGTGTGTGTGTGTAGCCTACAGGCCACAATTTTTAAGAGATCATCTTGAAACTTTACATACTGTACGTGACAAGGAGTAGGGTTGCCTGTCCAACCCCGTGGCTTTTCTCCGGGTCCTCCGTTTTCCTCCCACTGCTAAAGACCCCTACGCGCAAGTAATCAACAAAGACCAATGGTAGCAAGTTTTAATCTCACACATAATTGATTGGTGATTGCTTGTTAATATTTTGTGGCTTCACGCCCATCGAGTTTTAAATTTTAATCTCAACGATAATTGTATTGGTGAGTGTTTGCTTCACACCTACTGATTGAAGGCCGGATTATACGGTGTAGAGTTAATGAAAATCATATGATGGGACGGCTGATTGATGTCGTAATCCGGAATATTCAGAGGTCGAATTACCCAGAGATTTTTTGGCTGAAGTAATAAGGAAATAAATCGGGACATGAAAATGGTGTCGGATTTCACAGAGTGCCGGAGTGATCAGAGGTCGGATGTGACAGAGTGCACTGTAGATAGAACATGTAATTGTCAGCGATATCACTTCGATGGAAGCGGACGTTAAATAATGGTATTTCAAACACACACACACATGACATAGCGATACACCATACACCTTCACTTTTTCTATCGAGAAAAAGAAGTTTTTATGTGCCCACATTGAAATATGATCGTATATTGTTGCTCCCGTCTGGAGTATATATATAAATATTGTGGTGTAATTGTCAAGATATTTGGAGATATTTATTTATGGTGGGGCACCTTACCTATAGAATTTCAGCAATTTCCGTCAATTACTTCTGGAGTTATGGCTCTTGTTTCACTTTGTTGAACTTGGGAACGTTCGAATGACAAAATCCGATCTGTATAAAATTTATATGCATTATTTAAACATAGAATTTCAACAATTTCCATCAATTACTTCTAGAGTTATGGCCCTTGTTTACCTTCGTTGAACTTGTGAACATTCAAATGATGAAAGTTGTCATCTGATCAATATGAAATTTATATGCATCAGTTAAATTAGTGAAACGAAGAATCCTATTGAATTTCAACAATTTTCAGTAATTATTTGTAGAGTTATGCCCCTTGTTTTACTTTGTTGAACTTGCAAACGTTCGAATGATAAAAGTTATCATCCGATCTGTATGAAATATATAATTATATGCATTATTTAATCCTAGAATTTCAGCAATTTCCATCAATTACTTCTAGAGTTATGGCCCTTGTTTCACTTTGTTGAACTTGTGAACATTCGAATTATGAAAGTTACCATCAGATATGTAGAAACTTTGTATAAATCAGTTAAATTAGTGAAACGAAGAATCCTATCGAATTTCAGCAATTTCCAATAATTACTTGTGGAGTTATGGCTCTTGTTTCACTTTGTTGAATTTGGGAATATCCAAATGACAAAAGTTATCATCCGATCTGTATGAAATTTATTCGCAGTATTTAAACATAGAATTTCAGCAATTTCCATCAAGTACTTCTAGAGTTATTGCCCTTGTTTTACTTTGTTAAACTTGCGAACATTCGAATGACAAAAGTTATCATCTGATCTGTATGAAATTTATATGCATTATTTAAATTAGTAAATCAAAAATGCCTGTCAATTTTCAACAATTTGTAGAAAATTGTGAGCCCTCAAATGACGAAAATTATAATCTGTCTTGTAAATGCCCCCAATTATCTTCAAAAGAATAAATATGGACAGCCATTGTCGACAGCCCGGACCATTTAGCTGATGTGGGCGTATGTTTCGTTGCCTGGCAACCTATCTTAATTTTTTTTTCATTTCATATCATTTGTTTTATCAATGGTTATTTGGTGTCCATTTTATAACACGCTCATATAGAAATCTGTTTAATGGTTTCATTGGAAGGGAAGTGACGTCGGTTCAAGGGTAATGTGGCACAGGTGAAACCTGTCATCATTGCATCGTAGTTCTACTCATCTGTTTCCGATAAATCAAACAGCTTGTGTCATCTGATGTCTTATTAACTTTTTCTGTAAACTTCAGGTTATTATATAGTTTAGCATTTAATACACAGTTTGTAAGAAATTTATGGTATGCATGTACATCTGTTGCTACAAGAACATGTACAGGGTATGTATTATACACAAATTCATCTCTTTATAATATTTAATCTCGATGCTTAATTGATATCTGAAGAAAATGTAATATCTTTGTAGAGTGAATTGGAAATTTGAAACATATTTAAAACAGTTACCTCTGCTTTTTGTCTCCTATCCTATGAATATTTTTTAATATTAATTCAGTCAAATATTAAATATCAAAAAATAGACAAATATATTGTTTTGAAAGATTTATTGATTTTTAGAAACCTTAAATTGAATTGAGTATTGAAATAATGTCATAAAATATTTGAGTATTAAAATTAGCATTTAATGTGATCACTACATCTAGACACTCCAGCTATAGATTTTGGTTTCTTTCTCAAGTTGACACTGAGCAGCTGGTACAATTCAATCCTGTGTATTTAGTGTTATTTTCTTTAACACATTTAGTGTTATTTTCTTTAACACATTGAACGTTTGTAAATATAGTTGAATATCGGATAAAAGCATTCAATTTGTACCTGTATTTTTAATGTCATTGAGTCAACTGGCGTGGTTTCGAATCCCTGAAACTCCCCAACAAAATGGCCACTCCTTTTTATCCGATTTTGATGAAACTTAGAATATATCTTTATATCCCAAAGATCTCAGTCTCTTTCGATATTCGTGCATTTCATTTCAGATCATAACTTCTTGGATTATGGCCCCTGATTGTACGAAAAATGGCGTTTTTCTTTTTTAGCTTGTTCTCTATCCATCTCTTGCAAAATTTGGGCATATCTTGTCTGGCAACCACTGGTATTTCTTTGAAATTGGAATGCCTGAAAGTCTGCGAATATGCTTTGACTCAACGACTTGAAGATTCTTGCACTTCTATTATCCGTATCCACGTGAATTCTGTCAAATATCATACCAAACTTGAATACTTTGCCGTTGAGGTGTATAATTCAGATTCTAAAATATCCCGTAATAAATTGAATATCAATACACGAATCACACCTGGGCATGGCACCATATTCACATGTACCACATGCGGAGGACAGGTAACACTCCCTGGAATTCCTTTCTCACATATCCTGTCTATATAATTTGCACTACAAATTATATTTACATTGAAATATTTTTCTGACCTAATTATTTGATTTTGTAAAATTTTCTTATAATTTATTTATAGCCTTTTTTTATGGAAATTGTTTTAAACTTTTTAAATGATTAAATACACCAGGCAACAAACCGTGTGCATTTCCATTCCAGCCACCACTATATTTACTGTGGTGTCGTTAAGGTAGAATTATTTCAGATGACTCGGGGGTGCATTTTAATTTAATTAGATATAATACTTCATAATGCTAAACTAGTGTCAAGCAAATGAAAACAAGCGTAGATGGTGTGAAATTCATTGTTATAAAATTGGCTACTTCCAAACTGTGCGAATAACTGTAGCCTATGACAGAGCGAAATGTAAACAGTGCAAATGGCAGCTTTTGTATTGTGGTACAGTGTAAATATTTTTAAGAATTCATACGATGGCAGACATCTGTACGTCCAGCATGTCAAGGGATTATTTTTCAGAATTAATACGGCGAAACAAATGTTGGATTTTTTAATGGTGACGGGAGGAAGCAAAAGCTTGTCAACAATCGTAACATTTGTATCTATATACCGGTATCCATTAAAACAATAATTCCCCGACTGATATATTAGACGCATTTGATTGACATGTGTACCAGTGACAGGATTCAAAATTTTAGTTGTCGGACATTTTCTTCCCAAAAATAAAGGGACATAACTCTTATCGTTATTTAAGCAGGCGTTTTCAAACCACTATTAAGAATCACGTGTCAACAAAATATTCAAATTCATACGTAATAAAAAAAAATAGGTGCACCTCGTTATTTTTCATATTTAATTCCCGTACAGTATTCAAATTTATGTCAATAATATTCCTACAAAATTACATGACATCGTAATACCATAGAATGAAAGCGTGCCGGGTACTGCCCATCCGTACCGGTTTCAAATTCCCCATATATTACCATATTTTTCGGGTCATAAGTCGATACATTTTTCAGCAAAGCCCGGCATTCGTCTTATACTCCGTTTCGATTTATATACAGAAGGTAAAAAAGACATCCCGAAATTTATTTGTCCGTAAACCGTAGTAAAGTCGCTCTAATACAACGAGCGAGTGACACCAACAGCTAAATAATCCCATTCGACTCTAAGCACGCGCTATCGTCTTAAACAAGTACCGTAACTACTTACGTTATTCCAATCGAAATATTCGTCAACATTTCTTAGCGTGTTTATTTATTTAAAAACATAAACCCCGTTCAAAATATGATCATAAATCCGACAGTATGCCATCAAAATCGAATCTTTTCTCCCGACATCATACGTATTAGATTCGGCACGTTTATATACACCTCTTAATTCCACGTGTCTCGCGAGATTTCTACTTTCATTTTGCGTGTGTATGAAATAGCTTTATTTAACTTTGGCTTCCACTGAAGTAATATCACAGACAAGTTATCAAACACAATGTATATTGATTTGGGGTGTTATGGACTATTAGGATATGTGACATATATGATTAGGTGTCACAGCTCCATTGCCCGTGTTGGAAGAAAGTTGTTTTTTCCCGATTTGTAACCCTTTTGTAACTTACCGTCAAACAGTGGCTATTTAATCTTTTGTAATAATTTTCAAATATTTTAGAAGCAGATATCCTGTTCTTTTGTTTGATATAATTTTTATATATGTGTTCATTTTATTAATTTCATAAACGTAAGTTGAAAAACATCAATTTCCCCTGTTTTGACGTTACGCTGAAAATTTTTGTCACGTTTTGAAACGAGGATACCGTACTTAAAATGTGGTGATCGTTTGCTTTGTCATGGTTTGTCATGGTAAACACCATTGAAAATGGTATAACATTGCCTTTTTGGGGGTTTGTTTTTCATATGGGTTGGTATAACAACTAAATATTAAGTAATATACAAGAGTAAAGATAAGTAATTTTAATAATTCACAAACATATTTACTTGTAAACAAAATGTCTCTTCAAGATCTTAATTCCTTCATATTTTACTTATGTCTTAATAACGGCCAAAATGGACAATTTGCTACTGCAGAATGTTTTTCAAAAGCGAACCCCTTTCCAGGTTTAAGAGAATAGTATAAATATTTTGATTTTATTTAATTTTTAAAATCTTGCCCGATAGCTTATGATTTTGAAATAATACAATTATCAATACGTGGTATTGGTGTCATATTTATTGGAAAAAAATGCTTTTTGGGAAAAAAATAAATGTGGTTGCTATGGTAACAACCAAAACTCTTCATATTTTTCGAAACTTACACAATCCATATCATTTGATATTACATGGGTTTTAAATATTTTAAACTGCTTACTTTAAAGTGTGGTGATGACCTTTTGGGTCATGGTAAATAGCGTTAAAAATGGTCAAAAATTGCCTTTTTTTCCATTTTGGTTGCTATGACAACCAAAATTGATAATATATGGCGGCTTGGAAATATGTAATTTTAAAAATTCACAAACTTTTTGACATATTCCCATAATTTCACTTGTGTATGTCCATTCCTTCATATTTTATTAATGTCCCAAAAATGCCCCCAAAATAGGCAATTGTGTGCCGTGGAAAATTGTTCAAAAATGAACATATATTCAACTCTTGAGAGACGGCATATAGATATTTTTACTTTTTTTATTTCTGTTAATCTTACTTGATAGCTACTGATTTTAAAATGCATAACCACCAGGTTCAATATTTCAGATATAACATGGACAAGACCATTTTTGATGAAAAAATTGACCAAAATCACTTTAACAAAATGGAATTTTTGAGAAAACCTACGTATTTTGGAGTTTCTGCGGAAATCGAAGGAATTTTTACCCAAATGTGAAAATTGAAACATAATTAGCCTTAAAGTTGTATTTCATGAATTTACATCTACATTTTTGATAGTTTTGATATGAAATGAAATATGGCATCACAAAACACACCAAAAATGACTTTTTCAAAGTGTTGAAAAACCTTTCTTCGGTGAAAAGTCAAAAATCGCAACTTTGAGCCTCCGTAAAAAAAAAAATTTCATCCGATTTTGAATCTGTAAAAAGTTTTGTGAGAAGAATGATGAGATCTACTTGAAAAGCTAATAAAATCAAATGTATAATCATAATCTCAAAATCACCTTTTCCACCTAAATATGATTAATGTCTACGGCCAACATCAAGGAGATTAAAACGTGAGACAATGGAGAAATCACGGGTTAATCACATAGATTAAATTTATTGGATTGATAAATAGTTCGACAAAGGAGAAGAAATGACTTCTGTTCAGGATTGAATTGATAAATTGTCCGACAAAGAATTAAGTCAGCCAATCAAGGCAGATTAAGTAGTTAATCAAGGTAGGTGTATAGACGGTATAAAACGATAAATATGTTGATCACTTAATTACCTAGTCAATCCAGCCTATTATCAACGATAATCGGGTTGAGTGATAGTTATACACTCTGTACACTATATTAATTTTGGAATTTTCAATATTATTTACCATATCTTGATGTCCGATTGGGCATATTCCTGGTCGAACAATTTAGGACGTTTGGAAAATAGCGTCGGACAATTCCGGAATATACGGGCAAAATCACATCACTGGTGTGTACCCATGGACTCACTGTCTTGGTTAAACACGTTTAACAACTATGTCTTCACAGTTAAAACTCCACAATGTTGAGCAGTTTTGACCCGGACCAAGAAATTAATTCCAAAGAGCTATTTTGGCCTAGAACTCTGTATTTTTCTGTAAAATTAAATGATTGGTGTTGCCTTTCTGTCTGAAGAACAGTTCCGTTCAAATTATTAATTCCACCTTACTTGCAGTTCTGTAACCTCCAATCTAATATTTTCTTTGGTTCTCTTATCATCTAATACAGTACATGCCACAAAACATTGTTTTAACTCTAAACTTATTTATGATATGTATATGCCCATGCTTCATT